ATATATATATATATATATATATAAGAAAGAAGGATTTACATACCTATCACTCAATTCCTATCTATTTACATATCTGACACCTAAACTTCAATTTTTACATACATATCATCTTCCCTATACAAGAAAAGGTCTATTTCACTTTTCACAAGTTAAAATGGTGATATTTTTCATGCGGCATGGTAGATTTTGGTGCTATAAAAGCAAAAAACAAAGTATAGGCGTTAGATATGTAAATACATAGGAAGTAGGTGGTATGTATATAAATGCCCCAAGAAAGTACTACATGCCATACCATATCAACCACAGCCTGGCTTGAGAGAAATTCGAAGATGCCATCACTTGCTATAACAAAGAATAAATGAAGCGGCGTGATCTTGAACTTCAACACTTCAGGAACAGCGATGACCCCTATGCTCTCTGCAGTCGAGTCACCCACGCTTCTAGTGAACGCAGTTCCAGGATACATGGCATTCTGCATCCATAGCCTTGGCGGATCCCCTTCATCATTCTCCTCATCGCCCCAGCTCTGTATTCCAGGATCCTTTACCCCTTCCACCTGATCAACAGTCAAAACCCTAGCCCCGCATAGTCTTACCCTCTCGTATTCATCCTTTCGAAAAGGAGTCTGATCGCGAGAAAGGTCTTCAGCAACCAAGCGATCCCCTTCGTAAACACCAACAACAGCTCTGGAGTCGCCTACATTTGCAACAAACAGCGTCTCACCACTAACAAGAACGGTTATAGCAGTGGTGCCACTCATTGAGTCGTCTATTTCGCTGTCATGCAGAAGAGTGTTCACTGCAAGAAAAGCTGAATGATAAGCTTTCACAGGGTCGTCTAACAGCTCGGTATCTGCGGACAAGATGTCGACCAGTTTATCCCGGACAAAATTTGCGCATTGAGCGCCGAACTGACCATGGCCATCAAAGACTCCGAAGAAGTGCAGATTAGGATTTCCCTGGACATTGGTCCTGATGCAGATGGCGTCCTGGTTCTCCCGGTCAGGGGAGTCCGGATAGTAGCCGCGCTGTGTAAGGGAAGAGTACTGGAGGCAGAGGCCGTGAGAGGGAACGGCGGCGATGCCCACCGGGCTTCCAGACAACACGAGGCCCGGCCCTGCCTGGGCGATGGCTCCGCCGTCGCGGCCAGAAGAGCACGAGGTTGAAGACGGATATCGACAGCAACAGCAGCAGCAACGGCAATATCTAAAACAGCACTTCCCCTGCACACAACCCATCAAGTCGACCTCAACAATGACGATTTGATGCCTTTCAGCTACTTTCGTACCAATTTCCTAATAAAAACAACCGCCCCAAAAATCCCGACATGGATAGCGCGAAGCAAAGGCGACTCTCTGATTCGAAACCAGATGATATAAGCAAAAGAGGTGCCAGAAGCGGGAAGGAGAGAATCAGAGGCGATGGAGTACAAGTTGCACCGTGTTCAACCGATGGGGAGAGAAACAGAAAGTGAGAGTGTACAAGTCTAGGGTTTGCTTCGAAAGAGAAGGATCGCTTCAAATTTGCGTCTCCTTCGAAACCTCAATCGAAGAATGCCGAAGACAAAAGCTCAGCTTGCGAGTACATGGAGGAGCCTCCCTCAGGCCTGAGAGGAGAGAGAGAGAGGGTGAACGGGAACATAAGGAGCATGGCTTTTTGGGCTTTGTCTCGTTCAAATCAGAGCTCCCTCCGCCATCACCACATGGCACACGAGCTTATGCTTTCTCACACAAGCAAGTCTTTACTTTCACCCTGAATTTTTATATATTTACATAACTTATATTAAATTTTAAATTTTTTTATATTTCTACAAATCAAATCCCTTATATCACAAAAAAAAAAATTACTATTATAACTTTAAAAAAACATATTTCATGCATAGGTAAAAGTCATATATAATCCTTGCTAGGGCTTGGCTTCGTGGCATTGGATTGGGTGAGATCTCTCATGTTTTCTCTGTTTTTCGCACATTTGGACCTCCCTGGATCCGGATCTGGAAGTATTTTTGGCTTTCACGGTGTTTTTCTTTGATTTTAGTTTTCTTTTTCCAGATCGAGGGCTTTTTTTGTGCTTTTCTTGGTTTTTTTTGCTTTTCTTCCTGATTTTGGTCTCCGCCTGATTTTTCTTGTTTTTCTATTCTCGGATCTGTGTTTTTCGGTTGGGTTTGTCGGATCCCACTATTTTTCGTTTCTGCTTAATTTTTCTTGTTTCTCTGTGGTTTCAGAAGTGCCTTTTTCGTCTTTGCTTTTGTTTTTGGTTTCCTGTTTGTGCCTCCGTGGCGTTCTGTTGTCTCTATCGTGATGATGAAATTTTTTGCGGAGGCTCTCTCGGGGGGTCAAACTGCTAAGGTTAGCGATACGGGTTTTTTTTCCTCAGAAGTTTCATGATGTGTTATTGTTAGGCGATTGCAATTTTACTCGTAAAATTGGAAATAAAAATGGTAAATTTGCTATGTTCCTTTCTGATGATGAATCTGATATCCTTGCGTCTTCAGCTAAATATGTTCTTGTTGGGAAGTTTTTATTTGGGCATCCTAAGTTCGAGTTGATTCATAGGTATTTTGATGATTTGAAACTTACGGGGTTATGGAAAATTGGTTTGCTTCATGGGCGTCATATCCTTATTTAATTAGCTAACGATGAGGACTATACCCGGTTATTTTCTCGTAGGATCATTAAAATTGTGGTTGTCCCCATGAAAATCTTGAAGTGAACAAAGGATTTTGATCCTAAGGAGGAACCCCCAACGATCCTGATTTGGGTGTGTTTCCCGGGATTAAAGTTTCATTTGTTCAACCACGAGATCTTATTCTAGCTTGCTGCGGCGTATGAAAAACCTTTAAAAATGGATGGACCCACCTATATGTTAAACAGACCTTCTGAGGCTCGTGTTTTGGTGGAGCGGGACATTACTCAACCCTATTGTGATGAGATCTGGATTGGGTCAGAATTTAAAGGCTACTGGCAAAAAGTTTTTTTAGAAAATCATTCTCCCTAATGTTTGGTCATTTTCCTACGAACTGCTATAGATTACACCCTAACTTAAAAAAGAATACATCTCCCCAATTCAATGTTGTTGGGCATCATGTTGGGCGCACTGTGCCAACAGAGCCTACTGAAGGTTTAAGGCAATTTGTATCCCCTCGAGCAACCCTCTGTTGAGAATTGTATTGTGCCTCATTCTAATGTTGTTAATAATGAAGTTGAGAATCACTCTAATTTCCTTGTTGAGAATTATGAAAATGTGGTTAATCTTTCTTCTGTTATGCTCCAAAAGTTGGCTTCGATTTCTGCTTTTAATGTTAGCAATGATGTTTTGAACAACTCTTCTCCTCCGGTTGAAAATGTTGAAACTATGGAGAATGAGATTGAAAACAATTCTAGAGTTCCTGATGAAAATTGTGATGGCTTTGAAAAGGTTGCTGAAATAAATAATGATATTCTTCTTGTTGATGAGGGGCCGTCTAAACATCTTGCTTTGGATAGGATGCTTTTAGACACTCCTACCAATATTACCCCTCATGGCTTAACTTCTTCTTCGCTTGAAAAAGAGGGAAATGATCAACTGGAAATTAGTTCTACCCTTTCTCATAAAAATAATCTTCTTCAGGCTGATATTTCTCCTGCTAAGAATGTGCTAGATGTGGAATGGATGGTTCAAAAGGCTAGTATGAAAAAAAATAAAAGGAATAACGAGCTTATACATCTTGATAAAGATAATATTATTTTTTTATGAAAGGTCTCTCTCTGATGGTGACCAGGTCGGCACCTCTTCAAGATATTCTAGAAGAGGTTGTGCGAGACACAATGTTTAACATAATGTGTTGGAATATTAGGGGAGTCGGGGACCATTCCTCCCTTAATAGATTAATGCACTTGTGTAGGGTTCATAATCTTTACTTTATTGCAATATTTCAGCCTATGGCTTCTATTAACTCCACTAATAAGGATCGTATTCGTAGAAGTTTTAAACGTTATAGTTTCTTTTCTAATAAGAATAACAAAATTTGGATTTTCTAGAAGCATAATATTGATCTCACCTTTTATGAGGATGATGAGCAATTTGTTTTGCTTCATTTTAAGCATGATATTTATTCTGCTTGGGCCACTTTTGTCTATGCTAGCTCTCTCTATGCTAGCTCTCGTCTATGCTAGCTCTCTTCTTCAGGATAAATACTATTTGTGATAGAAACTTAGGGCCCATTTGGGGGCGCTTATCGGAAGCGGCGGCGTTTTGAAAACGCCGCCCTTCCGTTTGGAAATTCCGTTCGCATGACAAGTTTTTAAAACGCGTCGTTTTAATACCGCTATTTCCTTAAGGACGGGGTAATCCGGTTAGGGGCGCCGTTCCGCGTATGCTTCTCGCGTTTAGGTTGTTTTTCCCGTGTTGTCCTTCCCGTTTCTCCCCCTTGCCCTCGCCCTTCCCGTCTCGCCTTCGGTTTCGAGCTTGCCTGAAGCTGTGATCCGTGATATGAGGTATTTTTTTTTCGACCCCTCACTCTTGCCCTACCCGATATCCGTCTCCTTCCTTCCCGGAGGCCGTGCTCGATCTCTCTCACAGTTATTTCTGTTCATATGGTGGTTATAAAAGAATCAGTACAAATTCTTGAGCTTTGTTATTCTTATGGCTTATTTTTTCATTTGTTTGGGTCGGTTTTGGTCCCTACAGTGCTGGATTTCGGTTTTGGTTAAGATTTCATTCGATCAGGGAGCTCTGTTTGATCCTTTTTCTAACCATCTAAGCAAAACCTTGAATGGTTATAGAATTAGGGATTTCGGTTTTGGTTAAAAGCTTTGATTCGAACTCACGGAGCTCTGTATGTATTTTTGTAATTTTTTTCATCTTCATATCTTTGAGCTTTTAATTTTGAAGGGGCATTTGCATATATTCGAAGGCAAAATTGGGGCCTTCATGGTTTATCTTTGAATGCAGATTGCGTAGTTATTTTTGAAGGGGCATTTGCACACAGATCACATAATTCTTATGTATTTACTTTTTCCACCTTAAGTGGTCAATTTCGGTTATGTTCGATCCTTTTCTCACCATCTAAGCATAAACTTGAATGGTTATAGAATTGGGGATTTTGGTTTTAAAAGCTTTGATTCGAATTGGGTAGCTGAAGCACATATGAGAAGCAATGAAAAATTCATTTCTCTGTTTTTATTTGCTACATGAAATGCTGAATTTGGGACTTCACACACACACACATATATATATTGTCGGCACTATTTTTGGTGTGGG